GGTTCAAATCAACAATCAAAACATGTCAATTTATTGTTGGAATACCAGTTTTGACAGATGTATGAAATTCTCAAATTTATTTGAAATAAAATATGTAAATCCAACGTAACCATAACAATAAGCTTAACAGCATAAATATGTTTTCGCAGTAACTGTTTTCTCGGGTTTCGTCCAACAAAAATATTGGTTGCTGGTTATGAGAAATGGCTTTACATCTATATTTAAACTATACCTACCCCAAGTGTATCTGGTAGTTGGGCTCCAATTATTATTCCCTGAAGAACCTCTCTTTTCTCGAAATAGCGTATTATTTCCCATTTCCCTTATTTTCTCTTGAGAAATTATTTTGGGCATCTTATAGTTATTTATGTATCAAGGGAATTATGAGGGTGTTAATAACCCAGGGCAAAGTTTGTGTCCAATTGCCCGTGGGTATTAACACCTGATAATTCCCGTGGTACATAGATAATTTTATATCCTACTGAACTATTAAAACCATATAATACCTTGGTTACGATAATCATAAACAGGGTCTTAACTCCCAAGGGAGTTAAGGATTTTCATAACTCCCAAGGGAGTTAAGGAAGGGAGTTAAGGATATCATAACTCCCAAGGGAGTTAAGGATTTCCATAACTCCCGCTTTTACCTTGAATAGGTAACACTTTGACAAAAAAATAGAAATTTTGATTTATGGCTTATTCCTTTATAAAAATAGACAGAATACAGTAAATTCACTAGGATATAAAATTATCTATGTACCACGGGAATTATCAGGAGTTAATACCCACGGGCAATTGGTGTCCCTCGGGCCGGAGGCCCTCGGGACACAAACGTTGCCCTGGGGTATTAACACCTGCATAATTCCCTTGATACATAAATAACTATTATATCCTACTGAACTATTATAACCATATAATACCTTGGTTACGATAATCATAAACAGGGTCTTAACTCCCAAGGGAGTTAAGGATTTCTATAACTCCCGCTTTTACCTTGAATAGGTAAAACTTTCAGAAAAAATAGAAATTTTGACAAAAAAGCTTTATTGAAAACTGCAATTCATCTTTTATTCTAAAAATCTATTAACATCATTATTATTATTACAAATAATAAATTTACAATTATCAAAATTGCCCTGGAAACTATTTCCATTGCTGCAATTTAATTTTTTCTCTATATGGCTGTTGCTGTTACACATTTGAATTGATGTGCTCTTCTGATCGTAAGGTAGAGAGCATCCGTGCCGTTTGATTTTTTAGCTCGATACTATCGGCTAAATATCCTTCCGCCACTGTGGAACTTTTCCAGCCTCCATGCCTTTTTAGGTTTGTCATAGTTGCACCTGCATCTGCTAGCGCAGTGGCAGAGGTGCGACGAAGACAGTGTCCCGTAAAAGAAGACGGGTCTGGCAATTTTAAATATGATGCAATTTTACTAGGAATTTTCACGAATGTATTTTTCCCGATTTGCTGGGAGGTGCATCTATTTTGGCGGTAGTTCAAAAAAAATCTTCAGATACCCTTAGGTCGTAATGACATATAAAATTTCAATAAAGGCAGAGCAACGAACTCATCCTCATCAACAATCGTGAATTTCCTTGGTATACCCGTTTTACTGTCTGGTATACTCACGACCATAACCTTGTCCCGGTCCTCTATATCACTTAGCTTCATATTAAGAAGTTCCTGAGTTCTGCACCCTCCAAAATATCCCATTATTAAAACTATCTGCAAAACAGGTAATGAATACATACACAAAGAAATATAGAAATTAGGTGATTTACCTTATTTAATAAATGCATGTCGTTGGGGGCTTCTTTGAGGAACTTGGCGATATGCTGAGGGGACAATACCGCAGACTTTTTCGGTCTATAACCTTTGCTCTTTCGTTTCAAAAAGGCCTCTAATTCGTTGAATTTTTTAAAATCTTGTTTTTCGTGTATATATAGCATGGATTTTAGCATTGACCATTTAGTCCACAAGGAATTTGGACTAAAATTTCTGACTGCAATAAATAAGGCATAATTACTTACCTACTAAACAAAACATAATGAACAATAGTTACCGTACCATTTCTTGAAAATATGCCAAGAGAACAGTTTCGTCACTATTCTTTGCTGGGATACCTTTTTGTTCCAGCCAGTGAATATATTTTCTATATTCTTTATTATATAGAGTCTCACTCTTGGCTGGGACCAACGTTTTTCTTGCTTCCTCGGCTTTTTTCATTATCTCGTCCATTATAATAAGCTTTTTGTTCATCAAAAACGCATTTCAACGACAAAATGTGACCTTTATCAATTATAAATAACAAGCCTAAAGGTCGGTTTATACAGCCACATAACATAATATAAGAAATAACATAACATAAGATGAAAAGTTGACCTTATGGAAACTCCTTATGGCGTTTATACAGAAAATAACATAACATAACATAACATAAGAAATAAGAAAGTTGGTTAACTTTTAACTTTTATGTCTTATTTTATGTGAAAACCGATCTGCGCATGCTCCTCCCTTGATTTCGGCAATGGCGGAGTAGTAAACAAAACATTCCAACCAAAAAAAAAATATTTTGATTTTGTTTTCAGCTATTGGTAATTTTTGGGAATTCAATATTTATTTTCTGTTTCTGCTAAATTAATAATTATTAATTTTTTTGATGAAATATAGTGTTTTCGGTAGAATTTACATAAGTACACATACCAGCTGATTGGTTAGAAATTATTTCTTATGTTATGTTATTTTCTGTATAAACGCCACAAAATTCTTATTTCTTATATTATGTTAAAATGCGTTTTTTTTTTAAAGATAAAAGTCAAACTGACATTAGGTTGGCAATACAATGTAAAATTGTCAATGCTTTCAGATTTTTTGTTATGTTATGTGCTGTATAAACCCACCTATAGTTACCATAGACTAATAGTTACAGTGCCTCTGCCATAGTAACAAACAATAGAACTTGTACCATAGACAAAGCTAGTACCTACTATTTGTCTATGACTTGTTTGTACCAGTAAGGCACATAGAAACGCACCTGAATGCTCATATAGGTAGTCAATGGTTAATTTCTTTATAAAAATGGACAAAATAGAATAAATTCAGTAGGATATAAAATTATCTATGTACCACGGGAATTATCAGGTGTTAATACCCACGGGCAATTGGTGTCCCTCAGGCCAAAGGCTCTCGGAACACAAACTTTGCCCTGGGTTATTAACACCCTCATAATTCCCTTGATGCATAAATAACTATTATTTCCCACTGAATTTACTGTGTTTTGTCCATTTTTATAAAGAAATAAACCATAAACCAAAATTTCTATTTTTTGTCAAAGTTTCACTTCACCTATTCAAGGTAAAAGCGGGAGTCATGGAAATCCTTAACTCCCTTGGGAGTTATGATACCCTTAACTCCCGCGCGGGAGTTATGAAATCCCTAACTCCCTTGGGAGTTAAGACCCTGTTTATGATTATCGTAACCAAGGTATTATATGGTTATAATAGTTCAGTAGGAAATAAAATATGAAATAAATGTGACAATGCCGAATTTTGAATAATGTCAATGGACTTTGCAGGCATGCAGAATAGTAAGGTGCCGTTTATATGTTGCACTAGTGAAAAATATATTGACAAATGTGTCAAATTTGATTGGCCAAATAGGCCAGAGAATTTCAATACTGCGACACTTACGAAATTATGTGAAACACACTTAGAACTGTCTGGAATTTGACATATATTGTCATTATTATACGAGGGTCAACCTGTCAAATTTCCATGGATAATGCTACGCCGCAATAATAAGTGAAAGGCAAATACAACAGTATGTACAGTACAGTGTGCTCTTTTTATCTTGATAACAGTTTAAACTGTCGTAATTTCTTTATTTTTGAAGTTATTTAGATAAATGAAAAAAAGCACAGGACACAAATATGTAATGTATAAATAACGAAAATAATCACAAAACGCAATGATAGTAGTATAACAAAGGGAGACACGCATCTATAGTAACGTGACATCACAATAGTATCGGCGCTGGTCAATAATAGGCAATCGTTTTTACGCTTATAATCTTTGATTTCTGTCAATCAATAGCTGTCTTTCTCCGTCTCTTTACGTTTATCTTTCTTCTCTCTCGAGTAACGAAATTTCCCCGTAACGTATATTTCAAATTACTCTACATTAGTTGCATTCCTTTTACACCTAAGAGGAGCTCCGGAGCAGCTCCGGGGCGCTACGCGTTTATTTCTTTCGCAAAGTGTTTGTTGCACCAACGTCATTGGTTGCACCCCGCATCTCTTCCTTTAAAACTGTTGTCGAGTAACACCGGAGCGAGTAGCTCCAGTGTTCCAAATTCTTGAAAAAATACAATAATTATTGTCATATATAATATCACAAGAGAAAAAATTTTGTCGGCAAAATTTTCGAAAGGTATGAAAGTTTGTTGCTTGGCAATTTCGCGAATGACATTTTTGAGTGATTTTATCAAAAATGTCATGAGCGAAATTGCCGAAAAGCAACAAACTTGAATAAAACCTTGAGAACAATTTTGCCTACACAATTTTTTCTCGAGTGGTATTCGTCATGACTATTTCACGTAAGATTTTGAAATAAATAGAATGCAAAATTATGAATAAAAACTTCAAATTAAAAATACCAGTTTGACAATGTCAAAAGATGGTCGCTGAAATACCATGTTGTTGGTAAATATTGTCCAGGTAGCGTTATTGTCAGGTGAATACCGAATTTATTGCTGGTGTAATACACTCTAGTGAAATAGTCGTCCAAATATCACGCCGTCTAGAAGTTTGACTTCAATAACTTGATTCAAACAGTAACTTATTTAAAAAAAATAATAACATAAAAAATATTGTTTTCAATGTATTTCTGATAGGGGGGTGCAAGTGCACCCCCTTGCACCCTGCTGCCGGCACCCATGGACATACGTTTTTTTATGAAAAACGACCACAAAAAGTATTGTGTTTGTTTCTTTATCGATATATGGCTATGACTAGCATTGGTAATATAACGAAGGTATTTTCTTTTCCAGATCTTAGTTGGTCAAGATTCGGCTCGCTTCCGCTCCGAAAGTCCAGACTAGCCAAAGAAAATGGCGTCAGTCTGGTACCCAAACCAAAGCACAAAGACATATCGCAATGGCTCAAGGATTTGGAACTTGAAGAGTACGCTCATCTTTTCGCAAAGTTTCAAGGTGTGGAGGATATCCTGGAATTCTCGGAGACGGATCTTAAAGATTTGGGTGTTAAGAAATCTTCGCATCGAGCTACGATTATTAGTAGTTTGACGTTGCTTCGTGCTAAATATCATGGTGAGTTAATTTTTAGTTAAAACTTGTAAGTATGTACTTACCTACCTTTATTGAGAATCATAAATTTTTAAAGTTAAAAACTTTGAAGACGACTCACAGCATTTTGAAGACTCATTTTGCGAGAATTTTGAATGAAGACATCTTGAAGGCTTTGATAGTTGATTAAAAACCTAGAAACTATAAAAGTAACACGTTGGCAAATTAAATACTCGAGGGTATATCTTAATTCTTAATTAAAAGACCCTGAATAAGACGAAGGCGCCAAAGTTTCTTTTACTTGCCAAAACTTTAGAATGTAAAAGAAATCCTTTAAAGATTCTATAAGGCTTATATGTATAGGGGCTATAAAAGATTCTAAAGCTCTTTGCGTTTAAAACATCGAAAAGTCAAAAAATCTCAAAAGTTTCTCAAGATTCATGACTTAAAATTACAGACCCTTTCAAGGCCCAACACCAAAAACTTCATAGATACCTACTGGTAGGCTCTAAAGACTTATTTTGCGATTTTTCAGACAGAAGATTTAAAATTTTGCTGCTCCAAAGACTCCATAATGACAAGATCCAGAAATCCTCAATTTTTTTTTTAGAAAAACCAAGAATAGAAAAGAATGGAATAGAAGTTTGCATAATGTAGTGACTCAGGATTTGGGATCTTAAGGATCTTTCTACAGAAAAAACAGACAATTTAGGAATTGATAGTTTTTTCAAAAAAAAAAAAAAAATAACATACTAAGGTCCGTAGAGTCTTTTCAAAAGAAAATAAAATTTTTGCGTCCAAGATTCAAAAAGAATATTCAGTGAATATTCAGAATCTTGGGAATATTTTTAGACAAGAATCAGGATATTTGCAAAATGTGACTCAGAATAATTTAGGATTTTAAGTTTCTACAGCTTTCTCGGAAATGCACCAAAAGTAGGTATTACCAAAATAAATTTGCAATGTAATGACCCAGAATTCATGATCTAAAGTTGCTACAGCTTGAATCAATGATGCATTCAACAATCCTGTATCTTCGCGTAAAAAAATCAGAGAGTTTACAAAGTCATGACTCAAAGTTCAGGGTCTTGAGAATCTCTTTGAAGAAAAATCAGGGCGTTTGAAAAGTAATGCCTTAAGATTTCATGATTTAAAGCTTTTAGAACTTTTCAAAAATGCACGAGAAAGTTTTCAAATTTTAGAGACTTCAGGATCTTAAAATCCGTAGATCTCTTCGAAAAATAAAATAAAAATTGAATATTTGCAGAACAATTCAGATCCGAAAGTCTTAAGAATGTGACATTTGTAGAACAATCCAGATCCGAAAGTCTTAAGAATGTGAGAGGATTCAAAGATGCTAAGCATCTTCGCTTAGAAGAATGGGGGAGTTTGCAAAACAATCGCTCTAAATTCAAAATTTTCAGAGTTCAGAATTCATGATCTAAAGTTTCTACAGCTTGAGTCTACAGCATTCAACAATTCTGAATCGTCTCCTGAAGGGACCCAAGTGTCACCAAAGAGTTTACAACGTCATGACTCAAGATTCAGAATCTTGATACTCTCCTTTTGGAGAAAAATCAGAAAGTATTGCTTGAAGAAAAATAGAACATCTGCGGAACAATTCACATCCAAATGTCTTTAAAATGTGACAGGATTGAAAGATGCTGAGAATACGGAGTTTACAAAGCAATGGTTATAGATTGATTTTTTTTAAGAGAAGAATCAGGAAATTCGCAAATTTATGATTCAATATTTCTAGAGTTTTTCAAAGAAGTACCAAGATCATTTTAAGGTTTGCTGAATCCAAGATCTTAAGATTTGTAGTGTTTTCTCAAAAAATATAGGTTGCAAATAAATAATTCAGTAGAGATAATTAATAACGTCCTAAGAATCTGACAGAATCCAATTAATGATTTCAAAAATATTCTCTTAGAATGGTCCGGAAGTTTGGATTAGTTTTCAGAAAAAGTTTTAGAATTCAGGATACAGTTTTTCCTGAATTCAGAATCATTAGATTTATGGCGTTTTCCTAAAGAAAACAGAACATTTTCAAAAGAACAATCCAAGACCTCGAAGCTCAAAGAAGAAATCTAATAGGTGATTCGATTCAAAAAAACTAAAAATCTTCTCTAAGGACCAGGAAGTTTGCAAAGTAAAGAATCAAGATTTAGGGTTTTGTAACTTAGGTATAAGTTTGCTTCCTTTAATTTACCCAGTTGTCTCTTGTACGCATTCGTTACTGTATCAGAAAAATAGAATATCCTGATTATACCTTAAACTTTATCCTCTTGTTACGTTATTATTATGCTTCTATTGTTATCCAAACCAATATAAACAAGAATTATTTAAACAGAATAAATAACAAACAATACAGAAATAGCACCTGAAGCTTTCCGCCTTTTATATTCCACATCTGAAAAATTATTAATAGCCAATAGAGAAAATGTCGGAAATAACTTAATGCATCAGTGCATCCGAATATGCCCGTCTCATGCCATTAGCTTTCGATATTTTATACTATTTTAATTATTATTCTCGTTCCTTTATGAGCGATTTTGAAAAGGGATCGAAACTACATCTATTTCCGTTCATAAAAGACAAATCTATTGATCTATGGCTTTAAGGATATTATTATAAAGTGGCACTTCAATGCTTATCTGGAAAATTTATGTTAGTGCCTTCATAAATCTGAAATTTTTCATGGAATAATACATTGTGATTTATTTATAGAGAAAAGTAACTCATTTCTAATTTACACATGTCAAATTATAAAGCACTAATGAAGGTTTAATTTGATTTTAGATAATTTCCCAAGGAAAGCAACCCTTAGACACAGTGTGGCTGTTGATTCGACTAGGAAAATCCAAAGAGAAGACACATTGTAAGTAGTATTAATTTGAAATTACTTTTTAATTAAATTTTGGTCGTTAGTTATAGCATTATAGATAGGGTTAAAAAGGTATTATATGTTAATTTGTATTAAAATTTCAATCAAATACCTATATGTCGAACATTTGCCTTAAAACGTCTTGTCGACAATTGACATATATTCGGCTGTACAAATTTGTTAACTTTAATCCGATCTTAACGTTATTAGAGCCAATAACATCCTCTTCAATATCTAATGGATAATTTGAATTCAACTTCCATAGTTTCGCAAAGCTTGAAAGTCTTTTGACTAGTAACCATTTTTATTTAGGTACCTATTTATTTTTCTCAAATTTCAATCGTTTCTTTATTCATCTTTGAAATTTCAATTCAACATTTTCCTCAAAAAAAGTAAAATGTTTTTTGGAAGTTTCATTTTTTCCAAAATTATTTTGATACACATTTTGACGTACAGCTTAGTTAATTTTAATCGGATCCTAACATACCTAATTAAGTTCAAATTAAAGCCAATTGAATTCTTCAAAAATCCCAAGTTTAGGGTTTCAAGACAGCTACAATAGTCTCATAGCTGCGCAGCTTCAAAATCTATTGACTTTGATTTTTATCGAGGTGAGGAAAATTTAATATTTTTTCTTATGTTTCAATCCGTTCTTCATTCGCAGAACTTTAATCCAATTCCTCATACATTTTTCGCGAAAAAAGTTAAAATGTCTCGCACAACTTTTTCAAGTTCAATCTGACCCTTACGTTATTAGACTTAAATAAGTGATTAAATAGGTAATCTATAAATTTCTCATTAACAGTTTCAAAAAGTGGAAAAATCTTTTTTTTTTTGGAAAAATTCCCGTTTTAAGAAGAAAAACTAATTTCTACCATATCAACTTCGAATACCTATACTAACTTTCTTCCAAATAATAGTCTGTGAAAATTAATTACTGGTAAATTTGATATTTCATCAAATTTCCAATTCAGGTAAATTTAAAAGAAATATAGGTAAGTTATTGATAGAAATAAATTCAAAACGAGCACACTACCTACTATTCACAATTATTTTAAATCTCTCAAATGGCCAAGTTGTAACAGTAAAATACCACCAACGCAAATATTGACACGAAATTCGTAAACTTCTTAACGATAAGGCCTTACCCAAATTTTCCCAGAACCGATTTAAATAATTATTGCACACAAAATGCACTTTGTTATAGTCAGATAAATATTTATTCACATCGAGGCTCCACCTTTGAGATTTTTCATTTTATAGTTATAATGAATCATGAGAATCCATTTATTTTATTCATAACCACCTACTGTGAATTAACTTCTATAGATTTTATAGAATGAATTGAATCGTTCAGAATTAAAGCTCCAATTTGTGCTTCCATTAAAGTTACGTTTCCATTCCCATTTCTAAAGTAATTGTGCCCATGCTCGTAATAACGGTGGCACTTAACTTTATTCAAAATTGCATTGTGGCACGTATTACCGTTGTAGTTATTCCGCCAACAACAATGCAAAGAAGTGGCGAATTAATTATGGAAAGACGCCATTACAGAGTTTTGGAGCCGCACTTGTTGGCGAAATTAAAATATATGAGTTCATTACGAGTTGAAGCGTGGATGTGTACAAATTTTGCTATAATTTAAAGTGCTGCATTCAGTTAAATTGTACCTAAGCGTTTTAAATGAAATTGGATCTTTTTCTTTTTCTGATCTTGGGTCCGTTTATTCGAAAATCAAAGTCCAATTAACACAACAATAATTTATTCCACATTACTATACATTCTGAGACTAATTAGTTCACTATCTAAATCGTATCACTGTCAATCTTAAAAACTTAAAACTACTAATTAATACCGGCCTTTATATATCCGTAATCCATTCCTATATAATCGAGAATAAACGCGATAGCCCTTTTGCCCGAATAGCACTGTAAAATCTAGAATCAGCTGTCCAATTCTGTACACCCTGGCGCTTTCGCTAGATTTTCCCATCACTGCCCTCCTCTTAAGGTCGATCGTCCCGATCAACTTTGCGCCCATGATATTTCGTCAATCTATTCTGTCCAAATGTACAACCTTCATTTTACTCCTGGTGTTGCGCTGAACTCGATAAACCAAATCATTATTCTTCTCGATT